CCTTATAAGTGGGGTACTATCATAACTTGCCTCGCTCCTTCCGATGCCTGTCTTGCCTTGAACACGACTTACCCCACGCCTCCGCAACTCTTCAATGCACCACTCTCCCCATTGCACGTTTTATTTGCAATCACATCAGTCTAATAACAAAATTCATGAATTGTTTTTAAGTGCTTAAATATTTATTTTTCATATTACACCACTGCTCCCTAAATTATTTTTTTGTATTTATCTGATCCATACTCTTTTTAATTGGTACGTTATTGGCTTTTTTTCATACCAAGTCCCCTGAAATTGTTGTAATAATTGACGTTATATCATACATTTTTGAACAACTTGTGTGCGTGTTAGTTGCTCAAACAATTCGTTCCGCGGACTTGATCTGAAAGATGCCACCAAAGAGACTACTAGCACTTCTGTTAGAAAGTGTATATGGTCCTGATAGGTACTTAAAATAATTTTGCATGTTAGATAATTTTGTTAGAAAATCCAAATCTGTTGCAGTTTGGATGTTGCATGCCACCAGCAGAGTGTGGATTCAATTTTGTAAGCCCCACGACTTGGACATCTCCAACAAACACTACTCAAACAAACAATTTCACAAATGCTGATTGCGCGGTTTGGGGCAATGAGCCAACTAAATTATGTTACTCTTGTAATTCGTGCAAAGCGGGGTCACTGGCAATGATAAGAAAGAATCTCATCAACACAAATATAGTTTTGGTTGTTATGGCCATGGTGTCCTTTATACTTGCCTTGCCTAAACATGCAATGTGGGATTAGTAAAATGCTCCACATACATCATCATATTCACTTTAGAATTTGCATATTGGCCCTGCCATTTTGCATTCGTTACCCTTCTTTCCCATTATTGCATTTGTTGACCTTTTGTGTCCTGCGTTTTTATTTTATTAAAGGTCCATTCAAAATAGAGCTCGATATGGAAAAAAATTAAAATATGTCCTGTACAAAGAAAATATGTCCTATACAAAGAAAAAAAAACCTAACTCCTCCTCCTCATAGAAAACCAATATGTTTTAGTCCTAAATTGTACTACTAAAACATACAGAGTATGTCATTTTCCTATGCAGTACATAACTTTTTTATTTTCTTAATAGTACTTAAATAATGTCTAGTGATAGTGGACACTTAGTTTGAACAATGATTAATGGCAATAGACATTTACTTGTACAATGATCAGTGGACAATAACTAGTGATACTATATTGGTAAATAAAAACATATGCTACTAATTAACGATGGGGAATATTTTTCTCCGCACTAATTAACATTGACTTTAATTCCATGTGGTGATTGTCCAGGCAATGTGTTTTTAGATTATACTCTGTAATATACATGTAACTAACACTCCATACTTATATTTAGTTATTTGAAACAAGAAAAAGTAGAAGACAAAATTAATTTTAATATATTAAAGTATCATTAATAAGCTTTTCTTAATTTTTATTGAGTTTCTTTGGGTATAAGTATTCATATTAATTTTTAGAAAAAAACATAAAAATAAGTTATTTTTCTACTTGTATTTCTTTTTTTAAATAATTGGAAGTTTTATTCAAAAAACTAGTCTGTTATATATTTTATTTGGTAACTAATGTAACAATAAGATTAGTAGTTCAAGTGGATGAAGTGTCCCTTGCCATAATACTAAGGGTTGAATCTTGGAACCTTCCGAAGATATTTAAATTTTGTATATATTATAAAATATTGATAAAATTTGGGCCCCTAAAATATTGAGCCTGGTCCGGTAGGGCTGCTCGGCCCACCCTTGGCCGGCCTTGCAAATGGCTAAGGACTTCTTTTCGACAAAAAAATGAAAATGTTTAATTTTAGACAAACGAAGTGTACGTTAATTCTTTTAATTTAATTGCTTTTGCTTCAAACACACAAAAATTTGATTATTAATTAAAATATCATAAAAAAATATTTTTAAGATCTTAAAAAATTTATGAAAAAAGAGAGAAAAAGAAAAACAATAAAGAAAGAGAGCAGGACGTTTGTGCCTATTTTCAAAACTATAGGGGACAAAAGAGTTATTTACCTATTGTTTGAAGGATATGTTAGTATAGATTTGATTGAGGAATATCAAAACCATGAAGGATAATGAAGTTAGTTTTCAAATAATGAAAGTAACAGTGCACATTTACCAATCACATGAGATACTGGTGCAATAAAGGCTAGCCATTATTTTGGCCCATGCTTTTACAAATGCTAAGAGCAACAACAACGGCGAGTAACTTCGCTGCCTTGCCACACCACATCAGCAGGAAGGGAGACTTGCTTCTCGTGGCTATCCAAATATACCATGCAAGGAGAGGCATGACCATGGCATTCCATCATGTCTTTTTATTTTTTTAAAACTTTTTTATGAAGTAATTTTGTAAGAAAGTAGATGTATTTTTTATATAAAAGAAATAAAAAATTTAAATTAAAACACATAAAAAAATGTACTCCCTCCGTCCTATAATGTTTTCATCATTTATTTTTACGAGGTTTGACCGACTGTATTTTCAATTCAATTTATTTGCAATTTATTTGATTGTATGTCTAAAATTAAAAAATAAAATGTACTCCCTCCGTCCCAAAAAGTTTGTTACGTTTAGAAAAAACTGCGTTTTGTAAAGTCTGTTACATTTCTATTAAAAACCCACTTTTATCCCTTACTTTTTCATACCCTACCTATCACATCATACGTTTATTCTAATAATATACCCATCATATCATACTTTTACTCATCACATCAAGGGTATTTTTGGAAAGTCAATACCAAAATATCCCTCCCTTAATTTCACAAAAAGTCAAACCGTCCCATTCTTTTTGGGACGGAGGGAATATATATTTAAAAAACTACATCAAAAGTTCTACAAAATAAGTGGTGACAAGTCTATTTTTTCAAATACCTAATGAAAATAGGTAAAGAAAGTGATTAAAGTTTGATTGTATGAAAAGTAACTGGTAAGAGAGAGTAATAATTTCAAATAATCAAAATATTTAAAAACAAAGAAAAAGTGAGAAAAATTATTGTCATTTTATTTGTTTGCATCAAAAAAGAAGATTTTTTTTTAAAAAAAGTAGAAGTATTTTTATGAAAAAAATAAATTAAAGAATTTTGAGTTAATAGAAATATTTTTTATGATAAAATAAAAAGGTTAAATAACTTAATATATGAAAAAAATAAAAAAAAGAATAATAAAAACAATGACTTGCCGCTGCAGAAATAAAAGAAATAAAAAATTTACTCCCTCCGTCCTATAATGTTTTCATCATTTATTTTTATGAGATTTGACCGACTTTATTTTCAATTCAATTTATTTGATTGTATGTGTAAAATTAAAAAATAAAATGTACTCCCTCCGTCCCAAAAAGTTTGTTACGTTTAGAAAAAAATGCGTTTTGTAAAGTCTGTTACATTTCTATTAAAAAATCACTTTTATCCCTTACTTTTTCATACCCTACCTATCACATCATACCTTTATTCTAATAATATACTCATCACATCCTACTTTTATCCATCACATCAAGGGTATTTTTGGAAAGTCAATACCAAAATATCCCTCCCTTAATTTCACAAAAATTCAAACCGTCTCATTCTTTTTGGGACGGAGGGAATATATATTTAAAAAACTACATCAAAAGTTTTACAAAATAAGTGGTGACAAGTCTATTTTTTCAAATACCTAATGAAAATAGGTAAAGAAAGTGATTAAAGTTTGAATGTATGAAAAGTAACTGGTAAGAGAGAGTAATAATTTCAAATAATCAAAATATTTTAAAAAAAAGAAAAAGTGAGAAAAAATTATTGTCATTTTATTTGTTTGCATCAAAAAAGAAGATTTTTTTTAAAAAAAGTAGAAGTATTTTTATGAAAAAAATAAATTAAATAATTTTGAGTTAATAGAAATATTTTTTATGATAAAATAAAAAGGTTAAATAACTTAATATATGAAAAAAAATAAAAAAAAGAATAATAAAAACAATGACTTGCCGCTGCAGAGCCTACCACTTCACTCCTTGCCACTCGTTGACTGAACTATTTTTTATTGGTTGAAATGTTCCACATCAGCGTGTAACATTTATTTTTGTCTCACCATTGCTGATGCTCTAATTTGTTCACAAAATAACTCGCGTTGTGGGATTTTCACTTTTCAGTTGGTATGACTTTGTTTGTTAGGCCTAAATGTTTTGGTTTTTTGTTTTTCTACTTTTTTGGGCTTTTGGCCCATTCCTTTTTACTTTTTTATGTTCTCGATCTTAATAAAATCTCTGTTTTCTTTTTAAAAAAATATAAAAATGTGATGTTTCAAAAATATACTAAAATGAATCTTATAATACTCCATCCGTCTCATAAAATATTTCTTATATTTTATTTTTAAAATATTTTAGGGGAGTTTATGTTATTGTTGACTTTCCAAAAATGTTTTTGGATGTGATGAACAAAAGTAGGAAGTGATTGATAGATTAATAGTGAGAAAGTGTGATATTATAGGTAGGTTAAGAATTTATAGGGATAAAAGTGACCTTTTAATAGAAATGAGAAACGTTTTTTAGAACGAATGAAAAAAGAAGGCTTTTGTGGGACGGAGAGAGTATTAAATTGTCATTTTAACATGCACTCTATCAGCTAAATTATTTTAAAATTCATAAACATTGACTAAAAAACAATTATAAGAAATACTCCCTCCGTTCCACAAAACCCTTCCCCTTTCGTTTTTTTTGAATTCCCTAAAACACTTCCACTTTCTATTAAAAAACCACTTTTACCCCTACTTTTTCATACCCTACCTATCACATCATACTTTTTCTCTAATAACCAAACTATCACATCTTACTTTTACCCATAACATCAGGGGCAAAATTGGAAAGTCAACCAAAATTACACTTTCCTTATTTTTGCCAAAAGTCAAAAGTGGAAGGGTTTAAAAGAACAGAGGGAGTACATTGAAAGAGCAGGAGTACATAATTAATACACACCCGAAGAATGGAAGCAACATAACAATGTAACATTACTTAACGTCCATAATCACACAACTTGAAATGTAGTTTCTTAATAGCGTTGTTAATATTAGCGCATACAATATACTCACTCACCAAGTTTATATTTGCATTTGCAACATAGAGAAACTCACTTAATTAGCTTTGTCAAATTCCTCGACACTTAGCTTTTCCCCTCCCAATCTACATCCTCGCCGATATATGGCGCTTCATTGTCGCCGCTCTTCGTGTCATGGCCCACATTTCCTTCATCTTCGACTTCATCGAGATGAAGCAGTTTGACACTCTCAAACAAACTCTTTCTAAAATCACTAAGGGGTGTCAGATTTTGATAACGCGTCGAGAGACAGTGACACATCGGGAGGTATGTACTATAACCAAACGCGTCAGGCTTTATTAGGTTGCCATAGTAGTACGGAACACGAGCCTGAGCCAAGCCACAATGATGAAAGGACTGAAAGCTTTCAGCCCTCGGCTCAGCAACCTTCGCCTCCACGCATTTGTTCTTCAGATAGTGGACGGGGTTTTCCAATGAATTTCGCACACCTTCCTTTGAGTCAAAGGTGACAAACCCAAACCCTCTTGTGGGATGAATGTCCGTGTCGGTAACTGTACCATAGTCCTCAAAGTACGCTTTAAGTTCCTCGTTTGTCAGGTCCATTGGTATGCCGCCTACAAAAATCTTGGTATCTTGGCATGAATTATTGTTTGAGCTCTCACCAATTTCATGATGAATATTTTTTTGCTGATGACCATTGTAAGAAGGATCTATGAAGCTCTTGGGAATCGCCACCTTCACCTCCACCTAGGAACATACAAGCAAATTACATTATTAGGCATATAATACTTCTTCAAATATTTGCACTAAATAGCACTAAAACTTAAGTCATTTCCCTAAATAGCACTTAAACTGTTTTATTCTCTAAATAGCACTTATAATGTCCATAATGTCCAGTAATGGCGAAATTTTGCTTGAATAATGACTAATGCATAATGACTTAAAGTGCTACATTGGGAAAAAACATATGTAGTGCTATTTAAGGAAAGTCATTATGTTTTAGTGCTATTTAGGTAAATTCCAGTATATAATAAACATGCTATGGTGTACCTACTCGAAAGTAATAAAATGTTTCATGTTGATTAGATTAGGAATTCTTTTTGTTGTGACTTACGATTCACTGTCTAATTATTTTCAGAAATAATGAGTTTTAAATTCTCCAAAACTACAAAAGTCATTATTTATACATAATTTACACTATCATCTACGGAGTATCTGTCAACACAAATGAATATGATCTGCATATGTCTAAAGTTACGTGTAATATCATTGGAGGCAATCATACTCTCATTTTTAATAGAGATTTATATGCTCTTTTAGCAGAAATAAATTGCTCATTTTCATCGGCCACTAGTCTAAAATAAACTGGTCACTACCTTGTAATTAAATAGTGTATATTACTCTAGTAACGTACTTCCTTCCATCTCTTAATGTTCTTCCTTATTGACTTTTTGAAAATTTAAGTGAGTAACATTTTTGTGTTGACTTTCTAAAAATACTCTTGATGTGATGAGTAAAAATAAGATATGATGGATTGATAGTTATCAAAAAGGTATGATGTGATAGGTAGAGTAAAAATTAGTAACGATAAAAATAGTTTTTTAATAGATAAAGAAAGAGGTTTGTGACACAAAGAAAAAGAGCTGAGTGTGATTGTAGGATATTATTACTTTTAATATTTTCTTCTCGTTGAGGGTTTCTCTTAAATATCATTCCCCTTCAGTTGTGGACTCCCAACAAGAGTCCGAAATGAGCTTTTAGTAGTTGCCGACTTGCCGGCCTTTTTAGTGATATTTAGAGTAAGCTATTTAAATAAGAGGAATTTGTTTAAATAGTATTAAAATATAGTAACTTTTCAAATGTAGTACTATATATTTTTATTTTTCAATATAGTATTACTGTTCAATGTCCATCAATCATTGTTCAAGTAAATGTCTACTGCCACTGAACATTTTTCAAACTAAATGTCCACCATCACTTGACATTGTTCCCATGACTAGACATTATTTAAGTATTATCTAAAGAATTAAAAAATTTAAGTGATATATTGAGAAAGAGCCAATTTCTACTAATTTTATTTACTAAAACTGGTTAAAATTGAGATGATGATAAATTGAACTAAAAATAAATGTAATCAATCGTTGAATAAATCACATATTTAATATTCCCTCCTTCCCACAATGAGACAATCTTTACTATTCAAAAATTATGAGAATTTTTATTTATTTATATGTTTCCATTGATTATTCGATGAATAAAATATTGTTGTCAGTTCTTCTTCTATAGAAATTTTTTGATTGAATCATCACTTATTTTTAATTGATTGCACTTCACTAAAGAGTTGAACATTTGTAAAAACCAACATACTAGTTTTAGGGCCTGTTTGGGAATAGCGTTAGCGATTAGCGTTAGCGTTTTGAAAAGGCTATCTACGGGCAGCGTTTAGCGTTAGCATTTTCAAAGTAATCTGCACCGTTAAAATTTTATCCAAAACGCTAACGCTAATCTCTAACGCTATTCCCAAACAGACCCTTAATGTGGCGATTAATATTTTAAACAAAACCGAAAATTAGCCATTTTCGTGAATTACCCATACATATTTTCAGTATTTTGGTTACAAATAGCTTGTAAATAGATTACTTTTTAAAATATACTCCCTCCGTCCCATAAAGTGTTACCCATTTTGACTAAAGTTGAAGTTATGGAAGTGATAATTTTGTGTTGACTTTCCAAAAGTACTCTTGATGTGATGAGTAAAAGTAGGATGTGATGTGTAGATTATTAGAAAAAAGGTATGATGTGATAGGTAGGGTTTGAAAAAGTAAGGGGTAAAAGTGGTTTTTTAATAGAAATGGGTAAGGAATTGTGGGACACAATTTTTTTGAAACGTGTAAATTTTTTTGGGACGGAGGGAGTAATACGGAGTATTGACTTACTTCTTAGTTGATATTTTGTGTACATTACGGTATTATTTAAGGAAAAACCTAGCACAAATACACAGATATTTACTATCTGTGTTTGTCTGTGAGAAGCTGTTGTACACTTCGAATACACCAATTTGGGTACCCCTAGTAAACCCCTCATTATTTAAACCAATACTCACGCGTAATTTGTAAACAATTTTCATTGACAATATATCAACTAAATATACAAGTAGAAGTTTTATTTATTAGAACTAATTAAAAGCTTGATAATAAATTGGATTGAGAATTTTAATTAATATTGAAGAAATTTTCCTTGTCTTGGAAAATAGGTTTAATATAGCCAATCATTCTTCGAAGAACATGCATGATACTCCTAAGGCTTATGTATAGTACCAAAAAAAGATGGATGAAACCTAAAAATTGGATGAAACAAGAATTATGTATCCTACATAAAATACTTTTTGTAATTAAAATATCAAGTAAAGCCTAATCTTGGGAACTCATCCCCTATACTACAATTAAGTACACCCTTCGTCCCAAAAGGATTGGTACATATTGACTTTTTGGGAAATTAAGGAATTGATATTTTGGTGTTGACTTTCCAAAAATACCCTTGATGTGATGGGTAGATTATTAAAAAAAGGTATGATGTGATATGTAGAGTATGAAAAAGTAAGGGGTAAAAGTGGTTTTTTAATAGAAATGTAACGGAATTTATGAGACGCAGTTTTTTCGAAACGTGTCGGACTTTTTGGGACGGAGGGAGTACGTATTAATTCAAAGTGACCATTGAAAAACCCTAATGCAGAGTATGTACGTGTTTAATTAATTGGCTTTTGAATAATTAAATCCAAGAAAGAATAAATTAAAATTAGATTAATTGAATCAAAGTGTCACCTTTTTTCCAAGAATGGCGTGATCTTCGTGCAAGACATGTCCCAAGACAACATGATCAACACACAACACGACAAAGCCGAATCCTCGGCTTACGTTGGTAACCCGATTCCTTACGATCTCGGAGCCGATTACTTCACCGTATTTGCCGAAGTAATCCCTTAGGGTTTCTTCGTTGGCAGCGTGCGACACGCCGCCAACGAAGAGCTTGGTGGTGTTATTCTTCTTAGTCTCCATTAGAATATTAGTGAAGATGGAGAACTTCCAAATATATAGCAGCTAGAATTCCAATTCTGGATTAGTTGATGAGTCCGTACTAAATTTACGGAATTAATCTTTTTTGGAAAGATGTAATAACATGATTAATGGTTTGTTTTGGATTTTAAGGAGTAAAATAAAAATTCGAAAACTTTGAATTCCGATACAGTATATGTAGTCCTATTTCCAGTCATGTTAGGAAATTTTTAATGCTTACGGAGGAGTATATCTGTTCTTTTTTTCTTTCTTTTTTTGAAAACAGGAGTCCATCTGTTTATTTGCCTTTTTTTAAAAAAAAAACCTTTTTTTAGTAATTTGATATTCCCTCCGTTCCTTTAAACCTTTCCAGTTTTGACTTTTGGCCAAAATAAGGAAGGGTTAAATTGGGGAAGACTTTCCAATAATACCCCTAGGGTTGCACAGAGAGGTTATATTCAGAAGGTCTTGATAAGGTTCGACATGTCTTCATCTAAGCCTATTGATACCCCCAAGTGCTGCTAATATCCATCTCACTGCCATGTTTGCTCCAGTCAGTAGAAGAGAAGGAGTATATGTCACGAGTCCCTTATGCCAGTGCTGTATAGTAGGAAGTTTGAGTGTATGTTATGGTCTGTACAAGGCCAGATTTAGCACATGCAGTCAGTGTAGTTAGCAGACTCATGGGACAACCAGGGAGAGAACATTGGCAGGCTGTGAAGAGGATTTTCCGGTATCTTAGGGGTACATCTGACGTTGCTCTCATTTATGGAGGTGATACTTAGTGTTTGGTTACAGGATTTTCTGATCCTGACTATGCTGGAGATGTTGTTACGGGATTATTATTATTATTATTATTATTATTATTATTATTATTATTATTATTATTATTATGGTAAGAAATTATTTATAGTTAGTTAACTATTATTAGGAAATAAAATATATTCGTTAGGTGATTACTTAGTTTCCTAGTTTATTTATTACCTTTTATAATTAGGATTCTTAATCATTTAGTTACCATTTATTATTGAGACTCTCTATAGTTGGAGCCTATAAATGTACTCGTCACCATAGTATTATCAATGAATGAATAAAGAAAATACTTTCTGCTAAACCTTAATCTCTCTCTTTCTCGCCTCTTTTGTTCTTAGAGCTCAAAGGTGCTCGAAATCCTTCCCTATCTTGATACGATACCGTATCAGATGTTGACACGAGAAGATCGATGACTGGCTATGTGTTTACTCTTGGAGGTATGTTGTTAGTTGGAAGGCAACTTTGCAACCTACAGTGACTTTGTCAACTACGGAAGCAGAGTATATGGCCTTAACAGAAGATGCAAAGGAGGGAATATGGCTGAAAGGGCTGCTTAGTGATCTTGGTCTACATCATGATAAGGCTACAGTGTATTGTGATAGTTTGAGCGTGATTTGTCTAGCTAAGGATTAAGTTCATCATGAGAGAACTAAGTATATTGATGTGAGGTATCATTTTCTGAGAAGTGAGAAGAGAATAAAGGTGAAGAAAGTGGAAACTGCTGATAATCCCGCTGATATGTTCACAAATCCGGTTCCGCAAAGCAAATTTCAACATTGTTTGGACTTGCTCAACATCAGAAGTTGTTAATTGCCTTGTGGGGCAATTCTGAGGAAGAGGGGGAGGCCTGGCACTACCGTAGTGCGTCTGAAGAATCTGTCTCGAGAATTTAAGTCAAGGTGGAGATTTGTTGTAATGCATTGAATCTGACCCGTTACAGTAGGGAGTACGGGGGTCCGGGGGGGCGGAGAAGCCCACGGCTCGATAGTATACAATGTTGATGTATTGGGCCATTAATTATCTGTCAATTCTGTATGTTGGCCCAAGCTTGTTAGGGTGTAGCCTAGCACTATATATATAGGTACTATCACAAACCCTAAGCTGTATTCTGTTCTTGTCTCTCCGTAATAAAACTGCTTCCCCTCTTCCTGTGGATGTAGCCAACACAATGTTAGTGAACCACGTTAAATCTGTTGTCGTGTTTTTCGTGTTCATATTGTTATTCTCAAAATCCGTATAACACTTTTCATAAAATATTTTTACTTTTAATTAAAATACTCCACAGCCATTTTACTCATAATAATTGTTAGCCTATCTATTCTTAGAATTTTAGCACTACTACATATCAGGACTTTAGCATTGATTGTTTTTTATCTATTCCATCGATTTTTATTGATGCAAAACTAGCGATGCAACTGCTCCAGTGCAATTACATCGATTGTAAAATAACCAAAGTAGTTAGCCTTTTTTGAGCCAAATAATAGCTTTGGCATCGGTTTTAAAGGAATAGCCGATGCCCAAGCCATATTGTTTTAATTAAAAAATATATAAATTAGCTTTGGTATCGGTTATTCCTGAAGAACTAATTTCGAAATTGTTTTTTTTAAATTAAAAATTGGGCAATTGCATCGATTTTTTGGAAACAATTGATGCCAAAGAGCTTTGACATTGGTATTTATAACTAGTTTTAGCCTTCCTCGTCTCTTAAGGTGTCCGCCTAGGCGTGCATTCCTAGTGTTCCTAATGTTTAGCCCAGTTGTTTGTGGGGAATGTATATCCAACGGCCTGTGGCCCGTTTAACCCGATTGCTCGTCTGGTAGTTCTTGCTCGTCTGGTAGTCCTTGCTCGTCTGGTAGTTCTTACTCAGCGACTCGTGATCCTTTAGTTGTTGGAGCTAAAAAAGAATGGGAATCCATTTCCCGGTTGCCGCTGGAGGGGGAGTGTTAGAGTGCAGTATCCCACATCGGAAAAGTGAGAAAAAAATAATTGGTATATAAGCTTTTGATTTGAACTAAGTAATCGGTTAGATTTAATCTTTAAATGTAGTCAACTCAAGTGTCTTGCGACCCAATCCAATGATTCCTATCCTATTCTAAATTCCATGAGATTTTGATCTTCATTGTTCTCTTGTTTCTTTTAATTGAACAGCCGGTTAGTTCTCTACTTCTCTTCACCGCTCCATTCTTTTTAATAAAAAAACAATGAGAAGAAGGGCTTGCGTTGAGAGAACATTTTTGGAAAGTCAAAGTCATACATACACCTTTTTTTAAAATGAAATTTTTTTGAATACTCAATTATAACGTGGTATCTGTTCATACAATTTTCAATTTAATGACGCACAAAGAACAAATGCTTTATCCCGTGGGGGCTTAAACCTGAGTGAACATCTCCATAAATTCTAAAAAGTGGACTTACTGCCACTCAAGCCAGAACTTCTCTTGAGAATTTAGTCAATTTGAGGAAGTATAAAAAAACATACGAGTAGATAATTCTAGATTTCTAGTTCATTCCAAGTTGACCTCCTATCCCTCTAATTGTCAAAATCAGGATGGCCCGTTTTACGAAATCCGGATAACCTGGAGAGAAAAAGTAGCATTGGCCAAATTGACAAATTAAAATCAAAATACCAAAACAAAACGCTCCCCTTACACCTCAAGATGGCATTGTACTGTACATCTCAAAAGAGCATCCCAAATTAAATACTTCCTCCGTTCACAAATAAACTTCTCATTGTGCGTTACGATGTTTGACTGAATTTATTTTCAAATTATTTTATATGAAAAATAGTGTTAAATTTTAAAATAAAAATTACATATTAAAAAACTACACCCTCCGTCCCCGAAAGAAGTTCCCTTATTGACATTTTGGGAAATTAAAGAAGAGATATTCTAATGTTGATTTTTCAAAAATATCCTTGATGTGATGGATAAAAGTAAGATGTGATGGATAGATTATTAGTAAAAAGGTATGATGTGATAGGTATGGTATGAAAAAGTAAGGGGTAAAAGTGACTTTTTAATAGAAAAGAGAACATCTTTGTGGGACAAAGAAAAAACGAAAGGGAAACTTCTTTCGGGGACGGAGGGAGTACGTATATCAAAAGATTTACAAAACTAGAGGTGACAAGACTATATGATTTTATCAAATGGGTGACGAAAATAGGTCAACAAAGTGAATAAAATTTGACCATGTGAATAGTGAAAAAGATGTTTATTTCTGGGCGGAGGGAGTATTTCTTTCGTCTCAAAAACTTCTTTTATTTTATTTCCACAAAATCACTCACATTTTTAGTAATTTAAACAATAACTTTACTCCTACTAATTTTTAACATTCCTATCAAATCATATTTCTTTTTACTAATAATTTACCCATCACATCTTACTTTTATCTATCACATTAAGGGTATTTTTAGATACTCAACGCAAAAATATCCTTCCTTAAATTTTCTAAAAGCCAAAATGGAACTATCTTTATGGGACGGAGGAAGCATTCCATGTATTACTCCTTATAATTAAAAAGGAAAGAAGAAATTAAATATCCAAGACGGAAAAAAGAAGAAAAATACTCCCTCCGTCCTAAAATTAAATAGTTTCACCTCTATATTTTGTATATCCACAAAATATTTACATCCACAGTACAATCATCCCTTCATTTAAAAAAATTGTTTCACCTCTGTTTTTTTCTATATTCTCGAAATATTTCCATCTCATCACCCAAAGCATCTAAAATACCCTCAAAACTATTTTTACCCGCAATAAAGAACAAATAGGGTATGCGTACTTTTTGCATTTTGGATTGAAATATAAATATTTTAATTTGTGTGATGCACAAAAAATGAAGCTGAAACAGAAGGAATATATACATACACTTTAACTCAAAAATAATGATCCGCATCCCCGAGAGCCTCTTGGAAACTGGCCGGATAGCAGTTGTCAGATATCAAACTCGGGTTTACCCATGTTTGCCACCTTTGCTCAACCAGCCGCCGGCTATACATAGAATATATAATACTCCGTAGAAGAAATGAGAGGGAGCTCCCTTCAGTCCAAGCATGGGAAGCTTAGGATCTAACTTGTCTCCCGCATCATTCACTCAGTTACGGAGATCGGTCGGTCGCACGCATATATAGCTAGGAAGCATATATATATATATATATATATATATATATATATATATATATATATATATATATATATATATATATATATATATATATATATATATATATGATTGATTATGTATATACGATCTCAGCATTTGGATGAATGAGTCGGAAGCAAATTGAATCCTACTGCGACCCAACCCATGTGTGGACTGAAGAAAGCTCCCTCCTCTCAATTCATGCATGTTTATTATAT